CGTAGTTGTTCTCGGGCAAGTACAGCTTGGCAACTGGGGGAGCGGCGCGCACGGGCAGCACCACCTTCGAGTACTCGACGGGCGAGACGATGCGGCGGTAGTGGTTGCGGCCAGGGTACAGCAGAGTGGCGCCGGCGGGCTCCACCGAGTAGCGAGGCTGGTTGTAGCCGCGCTGGCGGTAACCGCTGGACCAGCCGCCCAGACCAGCCAGACCACCCAAACCGCCCAAGCCGAGACCGCCAATGTGTCCGATCTTGCCGTGTCCACGGCCATGTCCGCTGATGCCGCCATGACCATAGCCGGAGTCGATCAGGATGGGGCGCAGTTGCTCGCTGCCGCCATAACGGGGACCGGCAATGATCTCAACGGGACTGTCATTGCCACCGGCAGCAGCGGCGCTGGATGCGGCCGCGGCGCCGCCACCCTCCGAGCGTTGGGCGTAGTTGGAGACTTTGCGGAGTCCGCCGTAGATGGGGCCGCTGCCATAGCTGGGACCGCTGCCGTAGCTGCAGCTGCCGACGGCCAAATAGGCGCAGATGAATACCGCAAGGGTCTGTGAGAAGAAGATGCGACGGGTCAGAGATCGATGCCAATGGGTAACGGGAACGGGAAGTGATCTTCGTCATGGTACTTACGGCGAACTTGTTCATGGCTGTACTTTCGTGTTGTATTTGGGGGGCGCTCGCTGCTCGAAACAGTTGGCACAATTAACAAACCAAATGCCAAGCACACTTCTTTATATAAGCAAAAGAATTGAAGCACTCGAAACGTGATCTCGCTGCGAATTTATCACGCCGCTGGCTGCAGCTCGCCCCAGCCCAGCCCAGCTTGGCTCAGCTCAGTTCAGCTCAGCTCAGCTTGGCTTGGTTTGGCTCAGCTCAGGTTCAACGGCGTCGTCTCGCATCTCGTCAACGTTGAGGGCGGCTCAGTCCAGCAAGCGGCTGCCGCTGCTTGTCCAAATCGTGGCTCGATATCGCCACTCGAGCAGCTTCACACTTCAAGCTGCTGCTGGCGTTGATATCACCCACATTTGAATGCAGCAGCCGCCCACAATGTGGGGTGGATGCTGCTCACACTTTAGGGTGGCTCAAAACGCACAGCCGCAGCTTCGTGTGAGCATGCAGCTGGATAAGCAATAGCAGCAGCAGCAGCAGCAGCAGCGACAGCATCCACAGCTGTTGCTAACTAGGCCTCTCTCTCTCTCTCTCTCTCTCTCTTTTGAAAAGCTGTTTACTATTTAAAGATTGGCTATACAATAGCTCAATGTTTTATATATAGAAAATATATATAGAAAATATATGGAAATATGTGGACACAGCTTTACTTGATTTGACATTCTACTATATGTTAGCTATCTTCTATAATAGCTAGCTGCAGGACTTTACCTTAGAGGACTTTTATAACATTTTTATTGAGAAAACCTAGAGCTAAACCTAAAATTTGCTCTAAGGCAAAGTCCTGAAAATGGATAGAAAATAAATAAAGCATATCTACCATATCGTATCTATATAAATACGGTACCTAAATCCTCTAAAACTCCTACAACACAAGAGCATACTTAACATAGTTTATGGTCTATTATAATTATTTTAATATATTTTACGATTAAACTTTCTCTCTTTTTTTATTTTCTTAATATTCTTTCTTTGTTTCTTAATATAGTTGTTAAAGTATATTTTATTCTACCTATGCTGATTTATTTTTCTGCTGCCTATGCATTTGCTAAACTATTTAAACTACATGCCTCAGCAATCAATGCTTTAACCCATCCGGGCCAGTTCCAAACTTAGGCTAAGAAGTTTTTTCTTGACCTTATTTCATTGTTTGAACTTGAAGCTAGTTCCATGGAACAATTGCCACCCATCTTGGCCTAGTCACTGCTGCATAATCCCAGCTACATTTAAGCCCGACGCTCAAAAGTATGTCACACATTCTTCACACCCATTCAGCCCACTAGACTTGAGTCAATTAAAAGAATTTCGTATTTTTTTGTTGTTCAACATTCTCCGCGGCTTTCAGCGGGTTTTTTCTTTTTATTCACTGTTTCAACTGGTGTTGGTTCGATTGGAATTAGTAGCCACGTCCGTGACCGCCACGTCCGTAGCTGTTGCCATGCCAGCTGGCGTCCAGATCGTAGCCGATGACGGCAGCCTGGCGGTAGTTGCCAGGACGGATGCCAGCGGAGGCAGCGGAAGCGGCAGCAGCAGCCGAGGGATTGGATGAGCGCGAGATCAGGGGCTGGCGATATCCACCATAGCCGCCGATCAGACCACCACGGCCGCCGCCGATACCACGGCCCCAGCCGCCGCCGTAGCCAATATCCTGAACGTAGGCAACTTGGCCAAGATCGCTGCCATAGCCGATGTTGCCATAGGGATTGGCATTGATGCAGGCAGCCAGAGCGCACAGAGCGAATGCAATCTGATGAAATGAAACAGGTCAAGGATTAATCAGCTGGCTGGGTCTAGAGCACTGGTACTGCTCAAGGATCACTTACCAGGAACTTCATGTTGAGTTATTTGGCTTTGCTAGTTGTAGAAATCAATCAAACTATGATTTGCTTGGCACAAGCGTTCGCTTTTATATGCGAAAATTAGACTGGATATGGTTACGTGACAGCCCAGACACACATATCTACACAAGTATATTGTATATATGCATATATTCATATTTAATAAATTTCTATTGCTGTGATATTTCATAAGTGTCTCGTGTACATAAGACAACATTATGTACATTCTCGCATTTAGTATTTACTCGCATTTCGTTGTCGTGTCTACAACAAATTATAAAATCGTTCGGTTACGCGATGTTCCATTGTTTCCGACTTCTGATAGTGCCTGGCCCCGCCCCTTTTGCCTCGACATGTGCAAAAACAACGAGCACTTCGTGAGCTCTCAATGAAAACACCCCCTAGGCAAAGGCGCGCGACTTTCGTAGCCCCAGTTTAAATATAAGTTATTTTTTATATATTTTATTTCCGATATGTGTGTATGCATTCCTCGCGTTAAAATACAACAGATATAAAACAGTCTATAGCTGTAAATGGAGCTGTCAACATGAGCTCTACTAGTATGAGCTTTAAGCTGGCCAAAGCTAAGGACTAAAAAAAAATGGGGCATACTATGAGGGTAGAGTTAAAGGAAAATGCTAAGTTGCCATAGTAAAGAATAGAAGAAATTTTCTTGAAATACTTTATATATGTAGAAAAGAATATACAATACTATACGATATAATATACAAATTTAATATAAAATTTAATTTATTTTAAGAATAAGTCTACAATATATGTTCGTTCTTCAGCTCACTTCTTCATTCAGCTTTTAAGCTAAACATAGCTGGAAAATGGCAAAAACTCGCAGTTTTTCACGGTACCCCAAAACCCCGTTAAGAATAAATATTCAAGTTCTTTTTTAAGTTTCTTAAGTTTGGTGGCATTTATTACTTCCTAGTTTCTTCTTATTCGCCTATAAGTCTTAAGCTTTGGTAGCTTTTGTTTCACTGTAGTTGAACTCGCTTAGTAGCCGGAGCTCTTGTAGCCGGAGTTCTTGTAGCCATTGTTCTGGCCAGCCACGGAGCTGGCGGCGGCGGCAGCTGAGCCACCCTGTGCCTCCTCGCCGTAGCCGTAGCTGGACTGCTGGTTGTAGCTCTGGCGGGGGCCGTAAGAGCGCTCCACCAGGCGCTGGGGCTCCTTCCAGAGCAGAGGAGCACCAGCCTTGGGTGCGGCCAGACCAAGCTTGGCCAGCGACACAGCCTGACGATCGACGGGCGCGGCGCCATAGCCGTAGTTGCGGCTGTAGGTGTAGTGGGCAGAGACTGGGACCTCAATGCTCTTGCCATAGCCGCCGCCATAGCTGCCACCATAGCCGCCGCTGCCATAACCGCCAGCGGGGACGATAGCCTTCACGGTGAGAGCAGGCTGCACCTGGTAGGCATAGCCGCCGACGGGTGCACTGCCGTAGCCGCGATTGTACGAACTGGCCGAGACAGCGGCGAGGGCACAGACGAAAATGCACTGCAGAATAAGAATAGTGGGAAGATGAGCCAATGGCCTGGAGGGATACTGGGGCAGGATGCGCAGACACTTACCATGAACTTCATCATTTTGATGGCTTAGTTGGGTTTTGGTTTAGTTGGGCTGCTAACTAATGTCTGACTGGAGCGACCCGTTTTGCTTATATACTAAAAATCCAGGCAATGCCAACAAATTTCTCGCTTACGTGACGAATATGATGCAAGTTGGGCTCTAGACGATCGTCTGTTCCATGTAGCCGAGTTCTTTGTGTTCCAGCCGCAATCTGAAGACGTCGCTCACCGCTCACCGCTCGCCGCTCGATTCGACGTGCATGCTAACAACATTGCACTGGCCGCTGCCCCACCCCAATGGGGCGGCCGTCCAAACTTGAACCTCAATTCGGCGCGGGTCCAGATAGCAGGCGTCTGTGCTTACGCCATCGTCTACTGGAGAGTGCTCCCCCACGGCCATGGCCTCGACCACGACCACGACCACGACCACGGCCACGGCCACCACACACTCATTACGCAAGCCAGCTGACTCGTGCGTGCCCAGCTGTGAGTCTCTGATGCGCCCGTGCGGGCGTCATTTTGATCCACGATTCGTCACCGCTTGCACCACTGTGGCTAGCGAGCTTGACACAGTTTTTCAGCCAAGGCATTGACTGCCACTTTCTGCTGCGTTGGTACAATTTATATACAAAAGCAAAAAAAGTTACGATAAAATTACAATAAAATAATAAACTATAAACAGTTTTTCAAAATTGCAATGCCAAGCACTTTAAATAACTCAAATAAAATAATAATACTTTGCATCCGCTACACACATTCGCACAGGGCACATTGGTTAGCATGCAGAGTTGGAGCTACATTTATTATTATGATTATTATTATATATATTATACTAGTAACTCCTCACATACAGTCTATTAGTTCAGTTCTTTATTATTCACTCAACATTTAAACAAATACAAATTTTAATAGCGACTAACTTCGCGTCGATAACTTCAGCATATCATATTTTGAAATAACATTAGGATAGCAATCAATAAACTTGTGTAAAGCCATAGAGCATTGTATCAATATTGTCGCATATACATACATAGGTATGTATGCAGGTAAAAGCAATTATTCAAATCAACATTCATCATTAAGTATTATCCCCCATTTGTGTTGGCTTGCGCTCTCGATCTGGCCTAGCTTGTTCAACAACATATTTAACAGAAGCTGAGCAAGATTGGCGCACTCAACAGTGTGGAGCTAAGCCTAATCTTGATGAGCGACACGTCTGGCTGGCGGCCACGCGACCTTATAAGAGACGCGCGCCCGTCAGCCCGTACAGAAAACTAGTTCACAACAAACACACACACAGCTCCAAAATGCTTCGTAGTCTGTGCTTTAAGGTGAGTAGATTTCGATTTGTGTGTGGTGTGTGTGATGTTAATGTGTGTGGTGTGTGTGTAATCCTTTTACAGATCTTGCAGTTTGCCCTGCTCTTCGCCGTGGTCGTCTACCAGAAGCATATTGGAAGCGTTGCCGATGCCAAGCAATTCGAGAGCGATTGCCGCTGCCAGAGGCGGGGCTAAGCTTTGGTTAGCTGAGCTGCAGTGTAATTGAGACGAATATAGCAGCACACATCAATAAACAGGGCAGGTCGATGTCGATGTCGATGCATATATACAAAATTTGAACTGTTTTCATAAACTCGTAGACAACACGTACTGACCAGCTAGCTAGTCGACTAGTTGCTAGCAAGCTGAGCGCCGCACATGGCTTTCAGCCGGGTAAGCAGCGTGTGCAAATGGTGTGAACGCGTGACAGACTCTGCTGTCGATTGCTGTGCGCCTATGCCATGTTTCCCAGTCAAGGTTTCCATATACATGCGCTTGTACAAAGCCGACAGCTGTTTTGGATCCTTGCCGGTGGTTAACAGCAGTTTGATGAGCGTTTTTAATGCATTCTGCAATCGGCTCTCATAGAGCGTCAAATGTGCTTTGAACTCGTCATCGTCGTCGACGTTCACGCTGCTGTTGCTATCGATGACGTGCCCGAAAATGAGCTGGCACTGGAAACAAATGTCTAAAGCCGCTTGCATATGCTTCACCTTCTGCGCTGCATGACTGGAAACTGCAATAGCAAAAGAAAACCATAGGTTATATAGATATCATCACTAGGTTGTCCCTATGAGACCCACCATCCGATAGAAACTCGTGCAACGATATGCGCTCCAGTTGCACCACCAGCAAATCGCGCACCTCCTTCAGGCTTTCCAAGATGTGCGTCGCCTTCTCATAGTGGTATTTGCATAGCTGCAGCGTCGCTTTGGGCAGCTGAGATGCATCTGAAACGCTATAGCTACGCAGCTGCGCATAGTGGAAGGATGCAATGCTGCAAATGGAAATTGATTTATCAGTTTTAAGATCTATTTATAAGTCAAGGCGATATGCTGTTACCGTTTGTGTATAAGGCCAGAGCGAAAGCTATAGAGCACTTGGCGTGCGCCTGCGTGTTCCACATCGCACAGCTTTAGAGATTTCTGCAGCAGGTCCAACACCTCCTTGGACGCCTCGGCCAGGCTGCTCTTATCGGCGGCGCTGTAATCCTGTAGCTGCTTGGCCAACGTAAACGTGGCTGTCGACAGCTCCCACTGCACAAGATCCCACAGTTCGGGATTGGCTTTTCTAGTATCCAGGCAATCCTTAGCCTTCTCATAGTAGTCAAAGGCTTCGTTATAAAATGTTTTCTGTATGTCCAGGCCAATGGTGCTGCAGATTATATAAGATTAATAGATAAAAATGGCGTAAAATATGAGTACTCAGCATACCTCTCATTTGGCATAGTCAAATGAGCACGCAGCCGCATGAATCTGCCCATGTTGCAGTAGAGGAATGCAAGATTGACGTTATCCTTCACCGCTGTAAAGGCTGCGATGCCACGGCGCAGGCAGTCATATGAATTGATTGTCAGTTTCACATATAGAGGCTCTGCTGCAGAGGCTAGCGTTTCAGTTGCATTATCTAATTCAGCTTTCGATTGCTCTGAAGAGCCATTGGCGGCTTCTTCTTTCTTGCGCTTCATTTGGCTGTACTCCTCTGCAAGGCAAGGCAAATGTTAAGAGTATTACAAAACAGAGAGAGAGAGAGAGAGAGAAAAAACTTACCTTGAGCGGAATACATATACTTGAGACCCAGTTCGTTGCGCACATTGCCCAGGCGACGCAGCAGCTCGTTGCTCTCATCGGTCTGCGCATGCTCCAGTGCATCTTCGTAGCATTTGCAGCTGTGCAGCATCACCTGCTCGACATTCTTAACGGGCACTAGCGTGAGCAGATCTGCATCCTCCAGTTCCTGTGTCAGCTCAGCGTTAATCAAGCTCGAATGCTCATCCAGCTGCTCATATTGCTGCACATACTGATCGATGGCGCTCCAGTGCTTCGACATTTGAAAGAAACAATCCCCGGCGCGTCCCAGCAGACAGCTCTGCTGGCTGACCACGTTGGCCATGTACTTGTTGAGCACCTGCTGGCAGCGGCAGGCCAGCTCGATGGCTCGCAGCGTGCTGCCATAGACCTGGGCCTCGTAGTAGTACTCCGCTAGAGTGGCATACGTCAGGCAGGCCTTCTCCAGCAGCAGCAGCTTCAGATGCACATTCCACGAGCCAAAGTTTTGAGTATTAAACTTGGCACTGAGTTTCTGAGTAGCCACGGTTGCCGGCTTGGTGTTGTTGTTGTTGTTGTTGCTGGTCAACTCTTTGGATTTGCTGCGTTTAGTCTTTGTCTTGGTGGAACGTTTCTTCGACTGCTGTGCCTGCGCCTGGGACTGCGGCTGAGCAATCTTTAGCTGCTCGTAGGGCAGTGGTATAGCATTGAAGGGCTTCGCCATGTTGGGATTCTGCTCTTCGTGTAGTATGCGCTGCTTCTCCTCCTGCTTGGCGTGCATTTCCGACTCCTTCAGCTTCTCCTCCTGGTTGCCATTGAAGTACTGCAGGCAAGAGAGACCCGCACTGATGTGCTGCAGCGATATTTTGCAGCGATCGACCGTGCTGGCGATCAGAGGCGCCGGCTTGGGTTGCTTGGCATGCGATTTGAAGTCTCGCAAAGCATCGCAGATGTGACGCACTGCTACATTCGCTTTGCCACCACTTTCTGCCGCACTCTGGTAGTACTTGTCGCTCCCAAAGTTATTTAAGGGATCGTCATTGTAGTTGTCTTCCTCCTCCTCATCTTCATCATCAATCTCGTCCTCGTCGTCATTAAACAGCGTTGGCGATTCATTGAATTTGGGAGCCTTCGGGTCAATTCCAGCGGGAACATGCAAATCAGAGAGTATATAATGGGATGAGCTGACAATCTGTGGATACTGCTCCTTCGGCAACAGCTTGATGCAGTTGTCCAGCAATGCGCGTATATTGCCCGCTGTCTTCGGTGTTATGTGTTCCAGCGTGTTCTTCATGTTGCGTGCCACAGAGTAGAGCAACATGCCCACAGGCACCGTAAACGGATTCATTTCCTTTTCCTTCTGTTGCTGTGGATGCTCCGGTTCCTCCGCTGCTTTATTTTGATTCTGATATAGGGTGGTCAAATCGTAGAGCTTAACCACATCATCGTTGCGACCCTTGAACAACCAATAGGTGTGACCCGCCTTGGTCGCATTCGCTTTCAGAAATGCTAAAATATTTTGAGCCACATTGCGCACCACCTGTGGTGAAAACTGCGAGTTCTCCAGATAGGGCAGATCCTCAGTCTTAATGATCTCGTATTTCTGCACAATGCCGTCCAAATGGTAGCACATCACTACCTCCGGCACATTGCACATTAGATTGTCCAGCCAGTAGTCGATGCCAGTTAGGACATTGATAGGCTGTGCAGCATCACGTAGTCGTAGACTAATGCAGGGCCTGTTCGGACCACCAAAGATGGGCATATCAGTGCCAATCAGCATGCGAATATCCTCGAACGTCCACACAACATTGCGGTTGAAGGCATGGCTTGATTTGGGATCAGGCACATTCTCTTCGATCTTCGGTTCCGGCAGCACAGGTCCAATAATGGGCAGACTTGCTCGCCTGCTGGTTAGCAATGGAGGTTCATTGGCATCGTAGTCCGTATCGCTACTTGGCTTCAGGCTGTGGTACAGAAACTTCGAGAGCAAGTTCTTTGTCTGCAGCGCCTCACGGGAACGCTCCTTAATACAAAAATTGTGCTGCTCATCGCCGTAGGCCAGAATGTGCTCGAGTATGAAGCTGCGCAACCATTTCCAATCATCGTCCGACTTGCGCAGCAAATACTTCTGTATATCGAACTCGTCCAGCAACAACGTGTTGCCGACCTTATGCACAACCATGCTGATGGCGCTCTTAGCACTGTATGGCAGTTTTAGTAGCTGTTTGATATTCTCGGCATCCGAGACAACGTCCACCTCGCCCACACAATCGGGAAACATTTGCCCCAGACGGAAGCTGGCGAAGCCGCCGCTTTGATACAACGCCTGATGCAGTCCATGGCTGCTGTGCGAGGTAGTCAGCCAGTTGAGAGGCGGTAGATTGAGATTTGTGTTGCATTCTAAGCGCTTAAAGTGCGCAGGCACTTGAACGGGCGAAAGTTTGATGATGGCTTGGCTTTTCACAGCTTCCAGCTCATGCGGCCCAATGCTGCGACAGGGTTCAATCTATAAGGCGGACATATTCATTTTTTTGGCTTTACAAATCCCTCTCACTTACCTCTTCATTGCTATCTTCCATTGCGTTGTTTAGTCATTTCAATTTTCACACACAAATTGTTCACGAATATTCCACAAGGTTGGCTTTTGTTATGCCGGCAAACAGCTGTGCAATAGCAGCCATCCCTGGTTACGGCAGGGTTGCCCATATTCGCCAAAGAGTACAAAAATCACACGCAGCTATCAGCTGCTGGCTGCATTTAGTTGTTTTATTTTTTTTTTCATCAGCAAAGGAAAACAAATTATTGGATCATTTTTATAGAATTAACTCAAACCAAAATATGGATTTGTTCGTACTAATAGCACTGCTGTGCCTGATCAACACAATCCTTCCAGACATCATTCGCAACTGGGTAAGTGGATCATCTTATTCACTAATGAGCTGCCGTAGTCAAAAACACTTTCACTCCTTAGGTTAAAATATCCCGTTTTTGGAAAGGACCCAAGGTAAAGCCAGAGGATCTAGCAGCGCTGCAAGCAGCCCGCGAAGAGCTTACTCAAGTACAAAATGCAGAGCATTCCGGGGAATATGCAAGGAAAATCAAGACCATGCGTGCCGAGCGCAAAGTCGCCGATGCTGAGAGCAAAATTTTGAGGGCCAGTCAAATGCAGAAGCTTAAGCAGTCAACTATTGATACGGTGGCCTACTATGTGACGAAGGTCGTCTTCTCGCTGGTCGTCATCATTGTGTGTGCCCGCCATCGGTACTCGGCTGTGATGATTTTCGACGAGAGTTTTAGTCTACAGCCGCTGAGCGGACTGCTCAGTTTTCCCACTGGCATTTACAATGCTATTTCGGTGCCTACCTGGGCACTCTCATGTAATTTCACGTTTCGACTTCTGTACGATCTGGTCAAAAACTAAGGTGTCACAAATTGAATTGTAATTTTGTAATTTATTGCAATAAGATTTAATTGTAAAAAATGCTCGATATAGTTCACATAGCTTTATCAACCTTTTAACAACTAACGCATTTACAGAATAATTTTATTCATATAAGAAAAAGTACTATATGTTATATGAAAATATAATTTAAAAGCACGCGCTTCTTATCGTCAATTGATAATTATCGAATAGTTTATCAAACTGTTGCACATTTAAGTTAGGCAAATTTGTAATCAGATGAAAGGCTAGCAAAGGCTGGACTATTTTATAATTTTGTTTTTCATATCTAAAATGTCTAATTAATGCAAAATTATACATGCTCAACAAACAATTTGGTTGTTTTGTGAGTAACTTGCTTTCCATCCCTGGAATAAGAAATCGAGTAAGTGCATATCGATTTGTTTATCATCCCTAGTTAAAAGTTATTTGAGTTTTAGTTGAGCTGTGGAAAATTGTGAATTATTCCAAACTCAGCTACAAAATGGACAAACTAAATCAAAATGCACGCGAAAAAAAGGAAATTAAGTTGGATAATATCGACGTGACGCCTATATTAGCGGCTCTCATAGTTGGATTCATTGCAGTTGGTAAGAGCGAGAGCACGCCACGTCGATAAACAACAACAGTTTGCGATCATGCTACAAAATCAATTTAAATTTCAGCACTTTTTGTAATTTTCCGACGACGCTCGGCTACCCGACGTGATTTTCTGCTAACCGGTCTGACCGAGGCAGGTAAAAGCGCCTTATTCATGCAGCTGGTGCATAACAAATTTCCCGACACATTCACATCCATGAAAGAGAATGTCGGCGAATACCGCTCGGGACATGTTTCTGGACGACTTGTGGACATACCTGGACATTATCGCGTGAGAGACAAATGCTTTGAGCGGTACAAACACAACGCGAAGGGAATAATATTCGTGGTGGACTCAGTGACCATACAAAAGGACATTCGTGACGTGGCTGAGTAAGTGGACATCTCATAGTATTCATTCACTTTCTCCTAATCAACTACCCTTATAGCACCTTGTACACCATTCTGGCAGACAGTGCCACTCAGCCATGCTCAGTGCTGATACTGTGCAACAAGCAGGATCTGACGACTGCCAAGAGCTCACAGGTTATCAAGAGCTTGCTTGAGAAGGAACTGTAAGTTACTGCACATCTTTCCTGTCCTCATCTAATGCTCAATTTCTGATATCCATAGCAACATAGTGCGGGACACGAGGAGTCGCAAACTCCAGTCCGTAGGCGACGATGAACTAAACAAATCCATTACACTGGGCAAAGTGGGACGCGATTTCGAATTTTCGCACATTTCACAGAATGTACAGTTCTTCGAAAGCTCAGCCAAGGAAAAACAATTAAATGATCTTAGAGATTGGATAGATCGCATGCTATAGGAATACTAGCTGACTGACTAGCTATGGGCACTGAAATATCATCAAATATTTAATTGATATTGACATTTATATATGTAATTTTTCTACTTAGTCTCAAGACTCAAAGCTCATAACCTGTTAAATCCTTTTCAAATAGATCCTAACTTGTTCCCGCTTATCCTGTAAATCCACATTTAGGCTTATAATGAATTTTTTACAATAAGATTTTAACATGCGAAATAAAATGTTATTTTTATTGTTTATAATTGAGCTTCGAAAAGACAATGGAATTCCAGGGTAGCAGGGGTTGCTTATATATCAAAGTCTATAAAATTTTTCAAATTTATGCGCATTGTTAAAAAAAGAGATTGTTTATGGGCCGCGGCAGATCAACTGCTTGAAACCTGCTTACTGCACTGCTTTTTGGTATGTAAAAAATTTTTATTGCTGCCTGAAAGTATGCTACGAAAAGCTGAGTATAATCCTGACCTGAAAACAATAAGCAAGAAGAAAGCTGAACTAAAGTTGTTTTTAAAGCGGAGGAAGGCGTGGCTATGGCCTCTTTAACTTAACACTTATTCTATCATATTATACTCCTGCTGTTTACTATTCCGTTCTCCTATCCCCAATTATATTACTATACTACTTTTCTACTTCTATTATATTATATTTGTTTCTTACTAATATTAATATAAAAAATACATTACTAATTTTCAACTCCTATTTTACAGCTAGCCACTTTTCTACTAATCTACAAATCTTTAGCTCTTATACTCCAATAATACTTTTATCAAGTTAACTATTATTTTACTGCCCAACCGAAAGTCAACCTCTTTCTGATTCTCATTCATCTGAAAATGAGCTATTAATTCAATTCCAGCAAAAGTCACAGCCAACTGGTCCATTAACGTATTAGCCAAATGTTTGGCGCATGCGCAAGCTTTCAAACCTTTTTAGCGATTTGAAACCTTTTATGAACRTAGCAGCAGCAGCAGCTGTCGATGAGCTGCCTAATCCATCGATCAATTGACCGGCCAAAGATCAAACAGCCGCCCTAAAAAATAAAAATGAAGAAATCAATGAACTCGTCGTTTGGCGCTCATCTTCGCTGACTAGATAGAATTTCTAGGCTAAGAGAAATTCTAAGAATTGTTAGCTTTTAAGATTTGCCGAACAAAGATCCGGGGCGGATGCTTAACACAGGCCAGGCCCAAGTCTCGTGTTGGCTGCCAGCTGCCATCCATCCCTGATGTTCGTGGGCAACGTTGGTGGCAGCTCGACTTGATGGATCGAAGCCATGAATTTCGAGGAAAAGCGCGAGGATTTAGCGAGGATACAAGCGCCATGACTGCTCACTGGCTGACTGATCATCAAACGGGACTAAATTGTTTTATTTGGCATACAAAGTATAGATTTCCCTTGAGAGCTGAGTTTGTTCAAGGGAAATATATATAAGTCCCTTGTTTAACACACTAAACTGTAACTCACTTAGATTACATAAATGCCCTTGTGTAAGGGAAATATATATACACCCAGTAATTACTCGCTCATCGTGTCTAGCTGCAGTTGCAGCAGCCTTTTATTTCGACTATTAAAAAGGGAAAATTATCTCTTCATTTCCCTTTCTCTATCTAGCTTTTATTGCTGCTGCACTTCCTTTGAAGATGTAAGGGAAATTTAATTCTCTTTATAATGCCTTCAGTTCTCTAGCTTCTATTGCTTAAATACACTACGTCTACTTCGTACCACTTGTTGCCTCTCTTACAGCCGCCTCCTCATCTTGCAGCATGCTTCAGTTTCGACACTTCCTGGCATTGTTGCCGCCTCCACTTTTTCTCTATAGCTGCAACATGTGGCTGCTGTGATTCGGTGTCATGTGCATTGGAGCACGTGCTACACACATATACAAAAGACAAGAAGAACAAATTTAAGAGAGGCATAAGGTACTTTTTACAGCTGCAGACAGACCCATATGTTTCAGACACGCTTTAGCCAAGCGGAAGAACCGATTGCTCGACGGCTCGGCTGGTCGGCTGCTCGTCTGCTCGTCTGGTCGAATGGTCGAATGGTCGACTGGTCGGTCGACTGCTCGGCTGGTCGTCGCGTACACAGTAGCTGTTGTTAATTATGAACAGCTGATTAGGCAGACAAATGCAACAGGCGACGTTCTCTACTCTCTTCTCTTTTCTTTTTTTGCTCTCGTGTTTTGTGGGGCGAACAGTTTGGCCAAAAAAATACGATACGCCCGGCTCCGATTACCCAGGAAAAAAAAAAAATAATAATAATAAATGACAAAAAAGAGAGACGATTGCTGCCAACAAATTCATTGGAAGAGCAGACAAGCCGAGTTTAAGCTATGTTGGGCGATTGAATTACGAGCGTAGTAGACCGACCGTTAGTGGACTAAATCTTAGCTAACTGAAATTGACTGGCCAATAAATCGGTCTCATTATAGAAAGCATATAAATATGTTATACACAGGCAAATCTACTACAAATATATGTATATGTATCTATACGTATGTGCATGTATGTAAATATTACACACATACGAACATATATGTATGTATTGAGTTTCCCTTCTCACTTTGATACTTTAATAAGGCGCAGACCGCAATTACGCAGAGCTTGGAGCTGACTGGAGCGGGCGCCCGTTAAAAGTATTTTCTGTTGTTTCTGTTTTTTATGTACACAGCTTGCGACGTTTTGTGGGTTTTGAGCTGGCAAACGAGATGAGTGCACGGGCAGGAGCAGGGGCCAGGGGTAGCCGCAGGGGGTGTGGCTGGCAGGGCCGAAGTGGACAACACTGTGTTGCACATATGCAATTTATTTTAACACATCGTTAAAGCTCACAAAAATAAATCTTGACGCGTCGGACACTGCAATTATCACCTCTGCATAATCAGCAGTGCAACATCAGCAGCAACATCAGCGGCAAATTGAGCAACAAGGCAGGAGGCAAGCATCGAACAACGAGAGCAACGCATGCCCCACGGGCGTGCGACAAGGTACCGAAACCGCTTCGAAGCTTCAACTGAAGAACTGAAGGCAGCAGCAACATCAGCAGCGGCAGCAGCAGCGGCAGCGGCAGCGACAGCTGCCACAACAGCCGCCTCCTGTTAGCTTTCCTTTCCATTTTTTGGGGCTCGACCCACGCGGCCCAAGTGTGAAGCGTATGTGGAGCTGCATATACTGTCTCTGTATGTGTGTGTGTGTATCTGTGTGTGAGTGTATAATGGCAGTCCATTTAGCACCTTGTTGACGCGCGGCATCTAATTAAATGCAGCTCCGCTTCTTCTTCTTCCACTTCTGCTTCGCCTCCTGCTCATCTTTTTCAGCTGAATTTTCATGTAATGCCAAAAATTATAGCGCCTGCTGGCAGCTGATGGAGGCTGTTGCCCGCAAGAAGATTGGCAGCCTCCATTGGACTTTCTCATCGGGCGCGTTCGCTTTAAGCCAACATTTTTGATTTTTGTGCATACAATTTCTTGATTAATTATAATGCGGCTCCAACCCCAGCAGCCAGCGGCAGCTGTGCGCCTTTGTGGCCAAAAAGTGGAATCTTTTGTTGGCCCTAAACGTTTCACGTGACACCGAACCGAACCCGAAGCGAACCGCACCG